GCCCAGCCCAGCCAGCCTCAGCTGACCCAGCAGAACTCACTTGCCCTGGCGTCGTCTGCGCTCCTTCTTCTCGAGGATCCAGTCCCGGCTCTTCTTCACAGACTTGCCCTTCATGTTCCTGAACCGTGTCCTGCAGAGAACAGGGACAGCAGCTGGACAGGAGCTGAGGTGTGGGGACACAGGCCTCTGCCCTCGAGGATTGTCACCCAGAACTGGGCACGCCCCCTGCCTCCTAAAACCAGTGAGTGCCCCTCCCAGCTCCCCCAGGATGGAAGAGGCTCAGCCAGCACTGGGGCAGGTGGCCAAACAGTCCAGCCCCAGATGCACTGGGGGAAGAAGCTGCTTCCAGCCACGGTGCTGAGCTGAGGGACACCCACCCACCCTCCCCAGTGCCACATGTGACACTCCAGCAGCACGCTGGGCTCCAGGATCCCAGGGGCATACAGGCTCCAGCCCAGCCACCTTCCCTGTGTCTGCTCTACTCTGAACAAAGCACACAAAGCCCCTGGCTTCCCAACAAGTTGCTGGCTCTGCTGCTGCCCTCTAAGACCAGGTACCTCCTGCTACGTGAGCAGAGAACATGCTGTAAGAGGCAGGAAAACATGGCAGCCACAAGCTCCTGGCAGCCACGACGACTTTCCTCTGGTTTTTGTTCTCTGTCTCTCCCACTGGCTGCAAGAGGGGTTCCTCTGTGCACCACTACCATGGGAGAAGACCTGGCCAGCAGGAGAAACCACTCAGGCCCCAGGTAAGCAGAGGTAAGCAAGGGATTTGAAAGCAGAAGAAAGGGAACACCAGGCTTCATGCACATGCATGCTTCATGCATCCCCAAGAAAAAAAGCAATGCTTAGTATCACCAGCATTTTAAGTGTCCCTGTAGCCTGTGCTGAGCTGGAGAGGAAAGAGCTGGACAGGAAACACACTGCAGACTGAATGCTCAGGGGGCTGCTCCAGGGTAGGCACCTGGAGCAGCCCCATGATGCCACAGCAAAGCCCTGTTCCTTGCCTTTGGGACCCTTTGGTCAGATACAGCAGTGCCCATCTGGGCTGTCAAGGGTCCTCCCCTCCCTTCCTTTCAGTCACTTCTCACATGGCAATGCTGTGGTCCTCTGTCAGCAAAAGCCACCCCCTACAGGACCCATACACTCCCTGGGGAGAACCTGCAGCTTCACCCCCCCCTCCATGATACCTCTCATTGGTGAACTTGGCCTGGTGTATCTCTTGCCCATCAGCACACTCTGTACCAAGGCCCTGAAAAGCAAAACTGAGATGTTTCACTCTTCTCTGGAGCAGACAGAGCCAACAGTCATGCCACCTAAATTCCAGGGAACCCAGGGGAACAGGAACATATTGGTCTTCCAGAAACTGTGGCAAAGAAACCAGAACTGGGGGAGAGCAGGGGTTGGTGAGACTGACAGCAAAGGTATAAAGAGAGTCACAGCTGCAGGCACGTCACTGCCTGGCTCCCACCCTCACCCACAGCTCTGCCACACCACCCAGCTGCCAGGAAGGCAACTCCACTGCCTCAGAGCTCCTCACCTTGGGTAGTGTGCCAGATGCCCCAACAAAGAGACAAAGGAAGAACCTGAAAGAACAAGAATAAGGAGCATGAGGCTGGGATTCAGCCTGCAACCCCCAGCCCCCAGTCCAGACTGAGTTGTTTATAGTGATCTCACAAGTCTCTCTCCAGCTCCCTGAAAGGAGGCT